CCCCCCCTCCATTTACCTTCCAGCGGCTTGGCGTGCAGCGTGAGGCCGTCCTCCCTCTGGCTCCGTCTCCTCAGCCTCCTCTCGTAGCTCCGCACCTTGGTGTCCATTTCCCGCAGCCTCTGCCGCAGGGCGTCGTTCTCGCGCCGGCTCTTTTCCCGCTCCTGCTCCGCCCGCGCGCGCAGCGCCGCGTAGCCGTCGTCCACCAGGCGGCAAATCTCCGCCACGGCCGAGTTGGCCAGCAGCTCCAGGATGGAGGCGACCTGCGTCTGGAAGCCCAGACAGTCCGCCATGGTGGTCCCGCTCTGACCGCGTCGGGCGCGCGGGCGCGCGCGCGGCCACCGGCAGCTGCTGCTGCTGCTGCGCACGCGCCTCCCCTCGACAGATCCGCGCACGCACGCACGGAAGAGGCTGACAGCGCGCGTGCACCGGCCGTGCGCGCCGAGGAACTTCAACGCGCCCAGAAGTGTTGTGGAACCTGTGGCTGCGGGCGTCGCCTCTTGATGACGTCAGCGCGTCCTGTTTGTTATTGTTGTTGTTATTAAGTGTTATTAAGTAGCTCTGCTTAAATTCCCATTAAAGCGTGTTCTGGTCTGAGGTTTCTCTCGGGGTTTCTGGTGACCCTGAAAGATGCAGGAATCTAGTTTTGAGCCGTGACAGCTCAGTTGCTTTCTGCCCATAGAAGGTCATTAAAAGGAAATATTAAATATGAAGAAAAAAAAAATGTTGAATAGATGCATTCCAGTAAATCCAGCTGGAGGATTTTGGGGGGAAATGAGGGACAACTCCTTAAGGCTCAGCTTAGTGTGTTAAACTGTACCAAAGTGAGACAGAAAGGAATCATTAAGAACCTGGAGCATAGAGTATAGACTTCTGAGATGCTTAATCCGAACTCATATAAATGAGTTATTTCAGACTAGACTTTAATGTTTAGAGAGTCACTTACAAATACCAATATCCTGTTTTTTGTCTTCTGGACTTCTCAGATCATCCAAATGGAGAGGTCTGTTTAAATGGTGTGAAACCTTAAAGCACATATTAGTGGATTTTTGTTTCTGGTCCAATTTTGTCTCTTCATGGTCTGTGTGATGGTTTTGCATAGTTTTGCAGCTGAATCGTATCATTATTCTGGTATTTTTTAGCTGCCATTTACTTGATTAAAGTTTATTTAGTGAATCGTTGTGGTCCATTTGTGTGTTTGTGATCTGATTATTTCATTTAAAGCAGCTGTTTGTGGTCATTTGATGTGTTTTTCTTGGTCCAGAGAACTGGACTGATGTGGTCCCATACATGGTTTAGACTCTGTTCTGACTCTGGATGTCTTTAAATGGTAAAAAGTTGCTGATGTGGCTGATTTAAAATCCTGGTCTGAGTCCAATGTTTCTCCAACATTTGAACCTGTTTTTTAGGTTCCAGGGAGTCTGGAGGTGTCTGATGACACTGGGCTGTTCTCCCTGTTTATGAATATCCGACCAGTGCCCCAGTGGGTTATGATGTGGGGCCTCTGATTTAGCATCTCGGTTTTTTCCGTCTTCTCAAGATCTGTCCACAAGTCTTCAAATGTAATCTGAGGGGAAAGCGTTTTGCGTTTCTGGTCGTTAACGGGTCAAAATGTGCAGAAAGGCTGCGGCTCCACAGCTTTATGGCCCTCCTGCCGCTTTTTTGGGGGCCTGCTGGAGTCTTCCTGGGTCTGGTTCAGACTCTGTTCCTCTGGTTCTGGATGTTTTTTTAGAAAGTAAAAAGCTGCTGATGCTCCTGGGTCAGACTCACAAAATCCTTTTTACAATTTTGTGAGAATAACAAACGCCAAAAAAACCCAAAAAAGACATTTGAACCCAAAATTAAGTTCAAATAAAGGTCTGATTGAAGTGGGAGTAGAGCTTTCTTGTATTCATGGATGAAGTCAGACTTGCTGAGTAGGTTGAAATGTGATTATTATCACTTAATCTTCCCAATAATCCAAACATTTGTGGTTTTCTGTTTCTTTTCTACACCTTCAAGCTGAAATACCGTGAAGAAAATCAACCAACAGGACTCCATTTTGTATCAAAATTCCTTTTATTCGCATCGACGTCTGTATAAAAAACTTTGAGACATAAATTCTTTCAATAAATAATCGGCATAAATAGCAGCAGAAAGCAGAGACAAACAGAAACGGGTGCTATATGTGGTCCATCGGGGGCCTTTTTTCCACTCAGACGGGCTGCTGTAGTGCTGTACATTTCCCCATCCTGCTCCCCACCCCACCCCCCCCCAATCCCAGGGCTCCGGGCCTCAGTCCTCTGAGGTCCTGTCCTCGGCCTTCCTCCTCCATTCGATACACTCCATCTTCCGGCTCTTGTCTTTGTTTATTCTGGGAAAGGCAGAAAAAAAGGGGGAGAGCTGGTATCAAGCCAGAGGGCTGATGCAAAACATCTGCCGGCTGCTCGAGGGGGCAGGGGGGGGCTAAGCGTTAAGCAAGACGGACCAGTGAGTCATGCACATTGTGCTTTGTCAGTTTGTTCTGTTGGGGCAGAGCAGCTTTCTCTCATCGAGCAGCCGAAGAATGAAGCCCTGAACTGCGTCTGGATTGGAGAGTAGAAGAGCCCCCCCCCCCCCCCCCCCCCCCCGTTTTCAGGCTGACACTCACCTTCCCCAGCACTTCAGCAGAGCCTGTCCAAACCTCCGGTCGGTGTGCAGGCAGATCTCCAGCGTGGAGTTGGCCGGGGTTTTCACAGTCACTCTGCAAATCCCCAAAACCAGACGTTAGAAACAGAAACAGGACCCCCCCCCCCCCCCCCCC